TTTGTATGGAAAACTCTTTCATTTGACGAGGTATCTTCATGAAATTTGGCGTGTATTATTATTTAAGGCACTAATCTAATCTTCGAAGAAATTGTATAGATCGGACGACTATAGCATATAGCTGACATATTAAGTGAACGATCGGAGTAAAGTGCTTGCATGGAAATTTTTTTTATTTGACGAGGTATCTTCACAAAATTAGGCACGAGCTATTGCCAAAGGCAACAAATTATTCTCCACAGAAATTGGTCAGATCAGATCATTATATCATATAGCTGCCATACAAATTGAACTTTAGGAATCAAGTTCTTGTAAGGGGCCTTTGTATTTGTGAAGGGTATTATAGCTTCGGCGCAAGTGAAGTTAACGTTTTTTCTTGTTTTTAAGTGTCATCTACGGAGAAGGCCGGAATCATTGCAGCAGCGGAGAAAGTTTTTCAGCATCGTCGGAAATCGCGTGTAATTCGAAAAACTTTTTTCTTCTTCAAAATGTTTATGGCTATGTACAAAGCGCTACAGAGCTCGTATCTGGCAACACTATACATAATTTGAAAGGTCTTGACATAACCTACAAAACAACGCTATGCATGATTAGTTTGGATATTGCGTTCAACAGTTATAGACGTGTAAACATGGAGTTCACTAACGCCGAAATTCGCGCTATTTTAAAGTTTTCCTTCGTTAAAGGCAAATCCGCTAGAGAAACGTTCCGTGAGATTAATGGTGTTTGTGGGGATGGTACTCTATCACTTCGAACCGCGGAGGAATGGTTTCGACGATTCAGAGCCGGTGAAAACGACACCATGGATAAGCCAGCCGGCGGAAGACCTGTGACGACAAATACCGATCAAATCATGGAATACATCGAGTTAGACCGGCATATGGCATCTCGGGATACCTTCCAACCTTATATGTCTCATAAATGCGGGAGCTGTCTTTAAAATTTTAGTTATAAGGAAATCATATCCAACCCTTCTATAGACTATGTATACAAGTGATTTCTCAGATCATGAGTGAGATATATTAATGAATCTATATCACCTGTTAGACCTAGCAGATTATATTTATATCCTGAACAGAGTATATTCAGCTTGCCACGAAGTTTGTAACACTTAGAAGGAGAAATAAATGATCAACGTGACGATCTGAGACGATTTAGCTATATTCGTCTGTCTGTCTGTAACTATATACGTGAAATTTCGCAAAGGTCTTTTCTAATCAAGAAGCTACTCATTGTTGGAACCTCCGATATCGAACGACTATATATGATCGAACAAGTCCGTTCGCACAACAGTCAGGTCTACGTAAGCGGAACGGACTCGGATTTTTATCCGGCCAAGGACTGTTAACTTGGCAGAATTCTGCGGCTACAACAACAACAAAATCATCGATCAAAATCAAGTCCTTGCATGATAATTTTTTTATTTGACAAGATACAGATATAGATATAGCTTGCCATACAAACGAATCCTTTTTTACCCTCTTGTGCTATAAGAATTGTGCTTTTTATGCTATAGGGTACATATTATAGCTTCGGTGCCGCCGAGGTAAAAATTATTTAGTTTTGTACTAAATTTGGGTGGAATGTTGTTGTGTCTTTTAACATTATTATTATTTATTATATCCATTTCCAACTCTTGGCTTCTCCTTATTAATTATACATTTAAATAATCCAAATAACACATATAAGGCGAATTTATTTCGTCTCCATAACTTTATTGGGTTTAATTGAATAAAATAGCGTTAACCAAGCATTTACATGCGTTTGACTTAATAACATTATTATTACTATTATTATGTGTACATATTGTTTGCTACTATTATACTTCAGCATACTTTTTCAATCATCAAATGTATGCACATACATCAGCATATATTACTGGCTTTACCGCATGTACATATGTATTTGCAAACATACTCGTTTTAACTCGTATTTAATTACAGCTACGAGTATCATTTCGTACAAATTTTGCACCGACATTAAAAATATGGGTTTCATATACTTTTACATTTATGTATGTATATATGTTCTAGCATTTACTACTCCTTCTATGTACATATAAGAATATATATGTATGTGTGTACATAGATAGTAGTTGTTTATAAAATAGTTTATCTAAATATGATTACTACGAGTGAGATTTTAAAATAGAAATACAAAATGGAAGTAGAAAAAAGTCATTTTAAAGCAAGAAATTAAAAACAAATCTGGGGTTACTACTTTTCTTTAAAAATATTTCTTTAAGACAACAAAAAAATAAATACTACACAATTTAAGCCGCTAATTTATATAATGTAAGTAACTATACATATATCTATAGCGTTCATATGTATATTAAAGCTATCTCTTAGCTCCCAGCAAAATATCACAATAACAGCAACAACAATAATAATAGTAATACATATTAAGGCCGAGTATATTGCATGCAGTTTTTTTATTATTTTTTACTTTCTATTTTCTTCTAAAATTTCACTTTTACCACTGAGTTGCTGGTACAAATAAGCTGTGAAGCGTGTCGTAAAGAAATCGCGCATGCCGAAGGAATCACGGGATTTTATATAGTGTCAGGTGCTGTGAATTTTGTGTTTACTTTTTTAAATCGTTTTGAATTGCAATTTCTTTTTCTTCAACATCTATTTTAATAATTTCCATCGGGTGACTCTGAGAGTATATGCTTGTAGCCGTTGCTGCCGAGATACATGTTCTCGCGCCGGAAGTGGAAGGGTATCTGAAAGAGTGGGAATATTTGAAAGAATAAATATTTTTTGTTATAGTATTCCAATATAATAACAAGATAGCATAAATAAAAGTAATCTCTCTTGGTAAGAGCTGTAAATTTTAAAATTTCATAAGGAATTTTCAACTATTCAAATCAAACGAATATACGTTGATAATAAATAGGGGTCATCGAATATTCGAATACAATATGTGAATAACAGGATATTAAAAATTGTATTGAAAGCACATGTGTGTAACCGGAACGGACCGGGATATTTATATGGCCAGGGACTGCCTCTTCTCAAAATTATATGCGATTAACAACATTCGATAACATAAAGTTCGGAACTTTTTTCCGATTAGTTGGATCAGTGATAACACAATTTCACCTTAAGGTGAAAAAAGTTTACTTCCGCTGCACCAGAGAAATAATATTCTTCACAAATAAAAAGAATTTGATTTTGATCGTTCAGTTTGTGTGGCAGCTACTGCTGTACTATTGTGCTACTATGCTGTAGTGGTCCGATATCAAATCAGTAACTCCTCGGGAGAAAAGGACGTGTTTACTACATGCTAGAGAGCATGCAAAGCGAGTGTGAGTATAATAAGGGACTAGTTCGCGTATATGCAGACAGACAGACGGACATTACTCAATCATCTCAGCTTGTCACGGTGATCATTTATACCTATATGTATATACTTTATGGGGTTTCCGATGATATTTCTGGGTGTTACAAGCATCGTGGCAAACTTAATTTGTCCTGTTCAGGGTATAATTATTGCCAGTATTTTGTTTTAATTAACAAGCTTAGAAGCATTCGAAGTCATTCGGACCTGTTCCTGTTATTGATCAGTAAGATGGCTGTTTTTGATACACATGATCGTTATTATAACAACAAAGAAACGAAATCGGCAGACTTGATTGCCTAAAATATAATAAGGAAAACAAAATGTGCGGCAATTTTAAGCTTGTCGTAATAATCGGAGATCCAGTATATATTGCTAAATATTTCTTAAAAATCTACTTTTATAAGACCTAAAAGTTATGAAGATGTTTTTTTCACACTTCCAAATCATTACTCACCGATCCAGGTGGCGGACAGGGTATTGCGACTGTGGCAATCTCGCGCAACTTGTTCATGGTTCGTAGCCTCTGATAAAAGGAATGTATGATATACCACATCAAGCAATCGAAGGACAACACCGTGAAGCATATTATAACTGCAAATGGTTAATTATCAGAAAATAAGCTTAATAAGCTAAGCTACCACTTTCATACTCACAGTAATACACTTTGCCACCAATGATATCAACAAACTTCTCATTCTGCAACCAAAATACCAACACCGCTGCTGATACAATGAATATAAACTCAACCACCAACCACGGAAGTACGAATTCCGAGCGATTTTTAAATATGCCAGCAAATAAAGCGATCGTGCTGAGCAGATACACCGAAGCCACTGCAGTCAGTATGTAGAGCAGCATTTCGGTGACAGAAACGAGCTGTGAGGCGGTGCGCAGACGCAATTGATTGCGAAACGGTGACATATCATAGAAGCCGTTATCCTTTTGATCCTCAATATCCATGGCCAGCATAGTTTTCATTTGTTCGGCATGGGCCAGACCCAGAAGCACCAGAAAGAGTAATAAATGGGCGACAAGCTGGAAATTTTATGGTAGAAAATTGTTTATAAATTACAAAAATAGTAAATAATGTAAATAAAAAAATGGCCGAAGTTGCTTAGAAATAATCGGAGGCTGAGGCGTTGCGATTCTTCACCTGCCTATTTATCGTTGCCTTTGCCTCTTAGTAACAAAGTTTAGCTCTCCGTATTAAATAACCTTAATTCGACTTGAAAGTTTCTTATATCAAACAACGTAGCTAGAAAGATTTTTTTTAAATTTTGTTGAAAATATTGTAAAACGAAATTCACTAAAGTTTTTTAGGTTATCTTACAGGTAGAACGTTCCGAAAGTTATTCTGAAAGGATGTTCTACTTTCTAATCAGAAATTTTTTCAAAATAAAAGAAAAGAAAAAAATAACTTAGAACTTCTAACTGTACACAGAGAAAAAATCTATATTAATCCATATTTTAATAAATAAATTTAATGTATCATCCAAGCAGCTTAAAATATATGAATAATAGTTTCAATTCATTGTCATTAACATCATAATCGATTTTCAAGCTAAATAGTTAAGTGCGTACTATCTAATACTAACAGTCTAGAACTAAATTACAGTTTGTATGTTGTGTTTATGAGCAACTTACTTACCTATACTTTTCACCTGCAATTAGACCCATTTGACTGAGTCAACTCAAGTCAAAGTTTCTTTGGTGGCAATTGCAGTGACAAACTCGCTATTAAATTACGTGGAAGTGCCACTATGTTGCAACGTACTTACACACACACACACACACAAATAACTACTAGCTAACTCACTAGTCTGCATATTTTTAGAACTTTAACAAGTATTAAATATTTAAGCTACAGTAACGTATTGCTATATAACATTCTTTGAGTTTGTTTGTGTATGTGAAACTCACCAGTTGGTAAATGCCAATGAGTATGGCCGACAGGCGAAGATTTTTCGGCGACACTGGTGCCATCATTAGGTCCACAAAGGAGCGCCAATGGGCAGCGGGCGACTTCTGAGGCAGCAACATTTTAATTGCTTATGCGAGAATTATTTAAAGTGCACACCAAGCGAATAACTCTAGATGAATATAATTACTTATCGGCGAATTTTCGCAAAACCTACAAATTGGATTACTCAATTATAATTGATTTTTGCACGATTACCAGTGGTCGCTGCTGTATTGTTGTCGACTATCGTTGTCGCGGCGTACATTGCAGTCTTGTGTGATGTTGCGCTGTCTTAATTATGCCCCGCACAACTTCCGCTACGCCGCACAGCTTGTATTAAATCGATATAACGGTTCTAGGTAGAGTGACTGCTGACCGTTCAGCGCACCCCTGTCAGGTTGCTGGCAGTCGCTTTGACCAATGACCGAAGACGGCCTGCCTTTGTGGCGGTGATGCACTTAATTAATTGCTGTCGCTGCAAGGCTGCGACGACGGCGTGACACTTTACTCTTTAAGTTAGTTTCTTTTGTTTAACGTCTTAAGGCTCAATGTGTGCGTTCATTTAAGGCCGCCAACGTTCGAATGCCGTTAATGCGTCGTGCTTTGTTTCAACGTAAATGTTTGTCAGATACTAACGATGAGTGTACGAGCACTTTGCTTAGTATACGATTTAGTTACAATATATTCACTGCCATTAGAATTTTCAGTGTTATTCTTTCACCTACGGTACTCTGCTCTTTGTATTCATCACATAAAAAACTTTTGCTTTCATTGCACGACTGTAGCTTTTCTGAATGAATCCACTGTGACCGTTTAACACCGCGCTGCCGTCGTGTACGTGGCACGAAGCCTGAAACAACGTGTCGTATGCGTAATATTATTTTGCGAAATTCCAACACTTGACAGTTTTTGTATTATCTGACGTTCGCTACGGTGTTTTGTTGTTGTGTTCTTTCATTGTGTTCGAGGACATGCGCGTTAAAGTTTTGACTATCGCAGAAAAGCTTTCCCTGTGCTTTAACTTATGTTTGTACGCTGTCGCGTGTTTGTTTATATTTGTTTTCGTTGTTGTGATTTCTATCTTTGTTTATCGTATTCTTCATCAGTTGTATTTTGTGTAAATATTCGCTCTGAAGCTTTTCTCTGAGAATGTCACGAAGGGCTACTTGAGAATTGGAAAGCTTTTGCGAATATTACGTCATGCAACGACTTAATAATAAAAAGCAGAGGAAATATAGGGAAGTCAAGTACATGCAACTCTTTGTAAAGGTACCTTAAAGGATTGCAATAAATAAAAAAAAATGTAAATAGTTTAGTTTTTACAACTGATTGATGTTACATATATATTTACTCCTAGGTTTTCAAAATCATGGTTTCCTAATAATGCTTTAAGGGATAGGGTGATCCAAAAATGAAACGAGAAATGCAATTCTTATATTCACACCGTACTAGTTTCAATCGTATAGCGCATGGCTGAAGAAATTCTAAAAGACAATCTTAACATATGTCAACCTTAGACCTTGTAGACTACTAGAGTGTACAAGAGCATTTTTTTGTTTCTCTATTTAAAAACAGTCCATTAACCCATATTGCGTTAAGGGGTTAGGGATAGTCAGAATTTTCAAAAACTAAATTTTTTGTTTGAATTTTCGTTAAGTGTAATATCTTGAAAATATTCACTGAAAATTTCAAGTTGATCCGATAATTACTTTTTGAGTTATTCAACAAATAACAAATGTCGCTCGGGCACTTCAAAGCGCTCGGGAGCAGGTAGCTAACGGCAGCTGCAAGAAACTTTAAATGCGTTTTTCTCAAAACTATGTTTTTTGAACTGGTGATAATTGAAACTCGAAAACCGCTCAGTAGATTTTAATGAAATTTATAAAGCTTTTAGAATACATAGTAAACTCGGGCCTGATCGAAGGATTTTTTTAATTTCGATTTTTAAGACCAATTAACTGTTGATTTTTTCCCAAAAATCTAGAAACAAATTTCCTGAGGCCCGGGATTATCTATTTGTAAAACTAATTTTTTTTTATCCGATTGATTTTAGATGAATCCCCAAGGACCTATGATTGTTCCTACTTTCTATTTGGTTCCGGGCCTCTTGTCAAGTCCAACTTTGTTTCTGTAGATATCTTAAGATTAGCACACAAATGTAAATCTATTATAGATAAGAAAACCCTGTCATATTTTTTTACCGGAAGTCCTTATTACCGAAACGCCCTACTATAGATATGCCAAGCAACTTTACACACTTACACACAATCGAATACCAATTTGGAGTTTAATTTACACTCTTTGATTGAGTAATCCAATAAATTCGTAGTAACAAGATAATTTCGAGCAGTAAGTAATTAAAAAGGAATGTACGAAGAATAACAACAACAAAACCAAATGGAATCGATTGACATACGTAGATAATTGCCTTTAAATTAAAAACGCAACCAAACAAATTGAGCAAACATCGTCAAGGTAAAAACAAATCGTTTACTCATGTCATCGATTATCGCGGGCGACATGGAAATCGAGTTACACATTTGCAGCCTTGCGTTTAGTCTTCTCTTTGAGCAATTTCTGCATTTTCTTGTTACCCGCAAGTGCAATAATTTTGTAATAACTTGTAAAATACGAAATGAGAAATTTGTATACGAAACGCTGTACGCTGCAAAAGTGGCTACAGAGGTCCGAATCACAACTGCATGCCGGATGAATAATGTCAGCGTGTATTGATGCCTCGAAGGTGTGCATTGATATGTCATTGTGGTAAAATGATGCTTGTGACTTCGTATTACATGTGTATTTGTGTGGAAATATACTTATAATGTAATGATGCGTTGAGTCGGTTCAAGAAGTAATCGGTGCAGCGATTGTTTTGGTATGGCGGTAAAGGTAAACTGGAGCCCATCAGACTTTAGATTATTGCGTTAAGTTGGATGTATCTAGTGCAAAAGATTGTGATATTAGCGGATGAATATTTTGTTAAAGTATTACTCCAGAGTTTGGATAATTATTTCGGCTTGTATTTGAATTAGAAAATGCTTGGCTTTCCTTTTGCGGTCTTGCACTTGAATGGCCCAGAAACGACAAAAGCTGTATTAAACGACTTCATCTCAGCAGATTCTTGTAGCCGCAGCTGTAGGAGTTCTAACCGTATACTGTTCAAAGAGCATATATGCCATGAGACTAAAAATTTGGACGAACATCAACTATTAAAGTTGTTCGGATAAAGGCAAGGTTTTAACATGTTGACACTTTCACCTCGACTATCCAGCTTTCGTCTGCAAAACATCTTGGATGTCATAACTTTGGCCAAACGAGTGAATTGGCTGGAATCGATAACCTTGAAAGCAGTCCAAATGGAATCGCCGAGATATTTTTCGATCTATGAAATGCAAGGTTAGCCTCTAAATTTAGCTGGCACAGCTCTTTTTAGTTAAAATATAGCTGAAATAATATTATTTTTAAGGGCTTATAGCAGTAGGAGAACCCATGCCGAGCACCCAGAAATGGTAACGTAGTGCCTTTTTACAATTATTATATTCAAGACAAACTCTTTAGAATCAAGTACTACTATTTTCCACATATTAGTTATTGAATTTATTTTATGGTCTTAATCAGTTTGTGGTTCGCTCCCTTGCGGTGTTTATTGAGTGTCAAATAATAACCACAGAATGAAAAATCTGCTGAATAAAGCAACTGATTTGATTTAACTTTGTGTTTGGTTGGCAAGTACAAGTTTTGTTTTAAACTTGGTAAAACTCTTACCAAAACTCATCAAATGATGAAACAAGTTTATGGCGATGATTGCCTATCCCGTAGCAGAGTGCAAGAGTGGTTTCAACGTTTTCAAAGTGGTCGTGAGGACATAAATGACGATGAACATGTGGGCCAAAAAATCGCGTCTGAAGAAGTCAACAGTGAAGACAATGCTGATTTGTTTTTATGATTCCAACGGTATTGTCCACAAAGAATTTGTTCCACCCGGCCAAAACGTTAATGCGGTATTCTACTTAGGAGTTTTGAAGCGTTTGGTGCGCCGTATTCGACGTGTTCGGTTTGTTGCTCGATAATGCGCCGTCTCATCAATCTCAAAAATCACATTTTAACAATCAACCACTCCCCGTATTCAACTGATATGGCACCGTGCAACTTTTACCTTTTCGGAAAAATGCATTTGGCCATGAAAGCAAACCGCTATGCTGACGTTGATGCCATCCAAAAGGCGACGACCGCCATCCTCAACGCTATACCGACAAATGACCTAAAAAAGTCATTCGATAACCTTCTTGAACGTGCAAAACGTTGTATTTAGGCGGAAGGAGACTATTTTGAAGGCGACCAATAAATTAAAAAAAAAACAAATAATATTCGTTTTTTAATAAAAGTCCTGAAACTTTTGAATTGCACCTTGTATTTATTTTGTGGCCCCTATCCGTGCTCGTTTTGAAAATATCAATCACGATCCTCTCTGCGCAAATGATATGGGTTCTCTTATGCTAACGGACTTTGCCTTTTACGTTTATTTAAGTGAACAAACCCGGATCGGATTTGATTAACTATAATAATAATAATATATAATGTCGACCAGTATATAATAATATAAACCTTAGTAATAAAATTTCTCCAACAAACAAAAATGGTTTAATTTCGAACCGATTACTCTACATTTCGATAAGTATACAAGATCACTAGTGTTTTTTAATCAAAAGGAAGCAACACCTACAGCAATAACGCCATATATTTATAGCATTGCTTCTGTTTCAGCGGGTTATATTCCAATTGTCTTGATATAAATGTACATTGCGAAAGAAAAGGAGAAGAGTAGAGTGCTTGAGTGCAAATATACCTCTTCCAACTGCCTCGCCTTTCCACAAGCTACTTAAAGGCAATCAATTTGTAAACGTTTAATACCCTCAAAGCCATGTGGCTGCAGCCATACTCCTAACTCCCTCAACCGCTGCAATAGAGTTCTTTCAGCAATACTATACTTCAATAAATATTGATCCAATGTTGCATGTAGCAAGCGATGAAATGAAGTTGCTTTGTGGCAGCTTGTAAGAAAGTAAAAAAAAAAAATCAAAAAAACTTTTTCCATTAAATTCCAATTGGAGGTGGAGGCCAAGAAGCCAAGTACTATTTACGGGCACAAACAAACAGACATTCCGATATGTGCATGTACTGAGTGCAGCGTTTGTGTGTTTGCAACATGAATGCCTTCGCATAAAGACATTTCGTTTGTGCGAGTATTTTATGTGTTACAAAAAACTGCAATATTGATCGGCAATAAATTATCGCAATGCAAGTGCAGTTTTTTGTTGTTGTAATTGCAGTTGAATTTTTTTTGTTGCAGCATGTGCAGTGCGTTGAAACGCCCTCAAACGGCAGCAAATGTAGTGGCAACTGCGGCAGCTGTAATAACGTTCCAGTTATGGGTGCAAATCAATTGATCGGCAGCAAATAGCACACAGTGTGTGTTTTAGCTAAAGATTTGTAGTAATTTGATGGATGTGCTGAACGTGCTGGAATAAAAGCAGCAGATAGTGGGTTTTTACATTTGAATAATTAGAATAAGTAGATTTAAAATGGGTATTAGCTTTATTATAAAAATATACAATATTAAATAAAATTCACACGAAAAGTTTTTGCGCGATTTTTACCATAGAAAACAAGTTAAATAATCTGTTTGCTAGAAGCTTCACCGCTAAGGAAGCCTTCAAAATGTTGCAGAACGGTTTTGGGGAGTCTACTCCATCACAAACATTAAGTCACACAAAGCATTCAGTGAAAGTGGTGAAGTCATCTCTGTTAATGACAATAACATCAAAAAGTTAAAGTAACCAAGCTTGAAAATCGTCGCGTAGGCATGCGAGAGATAGCAGAGGATCTCAACTTCTCCTACGGAACGACTCAACACATTTTGATTTTTGTTCTGAGTATAAAGCTTGTAAATGTTAGACTCGTACCAACATACCTGATCCTTTTGCAAAAATGGCGTAGAGTAGAGATCGCAAAAGAGATGCTGATGTTTCAAATTAGAAAATATGTTTTTGTTTGTGTTTCGGATTAATAGCATTTCCAACTACACTCTATGTATAACGGGATTTGAGATCTGGATTGTTTTACTTGTAAAATTTTTAATGAACATATATTTAATAACATCCTACCGAAAACATTACGGAAAAAGGTACACAAATTTTCACAACATAAAGGGTTAGGTCACACTAAGATTTTCAAAAATCGTTTTTTTTTGGCCTAAAGTAAGGTGTATCG